GCCGTGGCGCCCTCTGGGAGACGTAGGCCCCAGACGAGCCCGCCCCCTCGCGCTCCTATTGGTTCCGCGCACTCCGGGGCCCGCTGGGAGATGTAGTCCAGCGCGTCGCCTGCGTCTGCGCGTGCGCGGCCCAGAAGCTCGAGTCCGCGAGGGGCGGCCTGGGCTCGACGGCGATGGTGCCCCAGGCTGGGTCGATCCCGGCGCCATCAGCCGCGTGGGCCCGCTTCGAGCCTTTCGGGCTCCACGCCGCGATTCCCCCCGCGTCCCCACCCAGGGGGCGCCCTAAAGGGGGCTGGGGAGGGGGAGCATCGGGTTGACCCCCAGGCCGGCTGCAGCGCCCCTTCCCGCATCCTCCCCTCCTGCGCTTCCCAGTGCTTGGGAACTGGGGCATAAGGTGGTCTGGGGGCACCTCGCCCGGCTGTGCACCTCTTGGGGTGGCTGGGGCGGCGCTGGGGCCCGGGGCGGGAGCGTTGCTGACAGGCTTCTGCTGTCGTTTGTTTTCAAATTTTTCATTATAAACTGTCTAAGTACCCTGAGAAGGTGACAGTAAAGCCAACACCCCTCGCCCTCCGGCGCAGCGCTCAGACCGCCCCTGGGCTTCTGGGTGAGCGACTCCGCTGGCTGTGCCCCTCGCAGGTGGAGGTGGCCAGACCTGGCATTCTGTCTGCAGTCTCCCGGACAAGACACCAGGAGAGACCAGGAAGATGGGGGCCGAGGTCTGCCTGGTCACGCCGCGGAGGAGCATCCAGCGGGCCTCCCGGTGGCCTTCAGGACTCAGCATGAGCACCCCCAGGGCCCTTTCTGCAGCCCGGCCACGAAGTGCTGCCCGCACCTCTTGCCCGCACAACAGCACACCACACCAGGGAGCTCGGCCTTCAAGGCTACCAGAAGCTGTGCTCCTCCCTGCCCCAGGCTGCAGCAGGCTCTCGAGCCCCCCTCCCCTGCCTGGAGGGGCATGGCCAGCCCTGCTTCCACTTCTCCCTCCCTGCCCTTCTGCTGGCAGAAGTGAGCACGCGATGGGTTTGAAGCAAGAGTCACGTGATGTCCACTCTGCTCAAACTCAGCCCAGAAGGGCCAGGTGCCCACGGGCCGGAAGCCCCACATGAGCTGACCGCCAGATCCTCGGAGCAGTTACCCCAGGACCTTTGCACGCACTCTGTAAATAGTTGTGGGGTGTTCCTCTTCCACGTGACAGCGCGGCTCCCCTGCTTCCCTGGTCTGGGGGAGCACACCCACTTGAAGTGCTCAAGCTGCTTAAAGGACCGAGCCAAGATGTCTCCCTGGCCCACCAGTGCTGCGGCTGGTTCCCACAGCATCCTGCTCACCAACACTCACTTCTTTATTGTGTGACCACACTTCCCCACGAGTACATGAGCTCTGCTGGGCACTCCGCTCTGCTCAGCTCTGAGTCACGGTGCGGAGAGCAGCGGCTGGCGGAGGCAGCGGCTGGCGGAGCGGGCTCTCAGCCCCGGAGGCCACCAGGCATTGGGTGGCCCTGGCCTGCCCCTTCTCAGCCTGTCAGTCAACCTGGCAGAAGAGAATGATTATCTGGGCTGCCCCAGGGCAGAGGGGGAGCTTTTAAAATGATCTTTTCTTAGGCAGCAATATATACGGGTTGTAACGTTTCCAAATACTGAAATGACTGTGGCGAAGAGTGCAATCTTGGTGGTCAGAATAGCGCGGGGAGCCTGGGCCCCGCTAGTGCAGGCAGGGAGCAGAGTGTGGCCCCTTTGCAGCCGCCGCCTCGGCTTTCGGGTCACCGGCCCTCGAGGGCGCACACAGGGCCACGGCGGTCTGGGGAAGAGCGCATCCCCACTGCACCCCCGTGGCCGGAGTGGGCATGCCAATCGCACCGAGGGCGCTGACCCTTTCTTCAGGTGCCTTCATTTAGCAGAACGGCTGGAGTGGTTCCCACAATGAACGTTCCACGAGCTTCTTTACCTGTGAAGCAGCCCGTGGTGTCCGAACGCCACCTTTCAAGAAGTTCCCAACTCAGAAATGCCTCTGTTGCGAAAAATATCGCTGGGGTTGCAACATATCCTGCAGCAGATGGAAAGCCCCCTGCTGGCCCCTCTGTCCTGCACGCTCAGGGCTCAGCTCTAAGGAGTTTCCCTGGGAAACGAGAAGTGGCCGCGCGTCACCGGCAACAGCATCACGCCTGCGTCGCCCACCTGCAGCTGCACAGGAGCGGGTCCCCCCACACCCCCACCCCACCTGAGGCTTTCGCGGTCTGTCATTTCCAGCATCAGTGACCACTTTGGTTCTTTTTTTGTAGGGAAGATGCGGCATCAGGCTGACTGTCAGGACAGGTGAGGGCCCAGGAGTGGGGCTTGTGGTTGAGTAGGAAATAGCAAACTGTGGCCGCTAGTGCGGAGATTGCCGGAGGAGCCGTCTCCGAGCTAGTGACTCACTCCAAAAATGTCCCTTTAAGACAGAGGTGGCGGTGCTCGCTGGCCCTCAGCCTGCCGCATGGAACAGCTACCCACATCGAAACGGGGGGGGGGGGGCATTCCACGTGGGGCGGGCAGCTTGAAAATATCAGTGCTTGAAAGTGTCAGGACAAGGCAGGGGCAGGTGTGAGCGTGGTCTGGGGGGGG